GGCCTCGGTGCTGGCATGACGGATGAGCTAACCCCAGTTGGAGAGGAGAGTTGCTCTAGCAATGTTCAAAGGATATGCGGAAAGAATGTGGCTAAATCATCCAGAATAGCCACACTAGTGAGAGCAGTTGAGAGAAAGTCTGCATTGGATGAGCTTCGAATACCACCTGGGGGTTTTATTACAGAAGGTAGGGCAAAGCACTTTGAAATGCACCTGTTTCTCATTCTTCCATTAAAAGTACCAACCACCGAAATCTCAGCATCTTTGAAATCTTTAGCCAGATTCCCCAAGGGAAGCCTGTCCTCTACCCTGCCTGCTGCCTACTTGTTCCACACACAGTTCATTCTCCAATATTCTTCATAACCAGATAGCCTAAAAGGATGCATTTCTAAGTGACCACAAGAAGCTACTGCAGGCCCTAAAACAAATATATATATATATATGTACATATTTGTATAATATGTATATATACATACATATTTATACATATTTGTATAAATATGTATGTATATATATACATAATTGCATAAATATGTATATATGTATAAATATATGTATACATATATATATCATGGAAAAGGAAGAGACTGGAAAGAACTAGTTTTTAATAAAGAAAAAAATATCTAAGTATCTTTTCCATACCAAGGCCACTTTAATCTCCCTCAAAGATTGCTTTTCCCCCATGTCATTTCTTTATTCAGAAACGAGAAGTGTTCTAGCACCTTAGCCTGGGATAGTGTTGTGGATTGAATTCTGTTCCCTCAAAATTCATGTTGAAGCCCTAGCTTCCACTGTAACCTTATTTAAAGATAGAGTCTGTAGGGAGATAATTCAATTTAAATAGAGTCATAATGGAGGGGCTCTAATCTAGTAGAAGTGGTTTCCTTATCAGAAGAGGAAGAGACCTTGGATATCCAGCCTTCAGAACTTGGCATAATAAATATATAATATACAGGTCCACCATATACTTTAAATGATCTCGCCATTCATACATATCTCTCCCTGTTTCTTAGTTCAAGAAGCATCTATTTAATATGCTTCATAAACTCTTGTTAACACCCATGCCTTTGTGTGTGGTGCCCTCATTCTTGCTAATGCTTTTTCTGCATAAGATGTTGAATTTTACTTGTTTCTCAAGTTTTAACAGAGGTCAGGATGGATTCCTTTGTACAGCCTTGTCCCTTACCCCAGGTGGGCTAGACACCCCCTCCTCTGAGCATCTTCAGGTCTTCCTGCCTGCACTACTAATTTGACCTTCACTGCATTTTGCTGGAATGTATTGCATTACTCAAAAGGGAATATGGGCTTCTTCATCATATAAGCTTTGTTTATGAAGACAATCTTCATTCATCATTAAAAATACATGAAGCACATTGAAAAACATACAGGAAATAAAACAAAGTCACCCATAATATGAGCACCCAAAAATAAATTCTTACAACAATGAAATTATTCCAGGCATTTTTTTCAATTTGTTTGCATATATGTGCATAGAATCTGACTCTACAAGTCTTTCACTTACTTTTGATCATCTTTACTGTCATTATTCTTCATTATGCCCTTTTGTTATTTTTTGAGGTAGATCTCACTTTTTGCCCAGCCCAGCCTAGACCATGATGTTATTATTTATACTTCCCTCTGTAGTTGAATGGCAGGTACACACCACCAGTTATTGGTTGAGATGGGACCTTGAGAACTTTTTGCCTGGGCTGGCCTTGAACCATGATCCACCCAATCTCTGCCTCCCAAGTTGCTAGGATTCAGGCATGAGCCACCAGTACTCAGTTCTAAAAGCTGGTTTTAATTGAATTATAAGATTCCATTCTGTGTGGTATAATTCATTTAATCATTTCTCTACGGATGAGTTTTTAAAATTATTATGTTAAATGAAGTAAGACAGGCTCAGAAAGACAAGGCTACATGTTTTCTCTCATATGTGGAAAAAAGACCCAAAAGATAAACGTATTTCCCAAAACAAACATGATCATATACAAACTCATTCATAGAACATGTTTGTAATAGTGGAACTACTCTATGGAACTTGGGGAAGGAGGGAATGGAAAAGAGAGTGATACAGCATCAATAATATTATAAAACATAACACCTGTAAAAATAGAGGATATAAGGATACATAATGAAAGCTGTTGAAAAATGGAGGGTGGAAGGTAAAGGGGTAAGGGAGAGTAATGGAGGGGATTGAATGGACCAAAGTAAAGTATACTCACAGCAGGGATACATTGAGAAACCCCTTTGAACATCGACATAGATATTAATAATGAAAGATAGGACTGTAAATAGGTACAGTAGGGGGTACTTGTTGGAAGGGGGTGAACAAAGGAGATTAATGTGAGGGAATATGGTTGACAGAGTTCATATACAAAATAAAACAAAAAAACCTCTTAAAATAGATTTAAGTGTGTGGGTGGGGAGACGGTGGGGATCATCTAATCAATGTACAATATAAGCCTATTTGGAATTGTTGCAATGATTCCCCTCCCTGTACAACTAATATATCCTAATACAAAATTAATGGAAAAATTATTTCTACTCTATCTCTATTATAAGAAGTTCTTTGAAAACTATTCCTAACAAATGATTAAACTTTTAAGTTCCTGAAAATGTCCTTGGGATGAAATTCCAAAAGTGAAGTACATTTTCTTATGAGATGTATAACCAAATGTCCTCCAAAAAAATTCTACTTCCATCAACATGAGAGTGCCCATTTCTCTACATACCCAAATAAACCCTGGATATGTTTCCAAAAGCTTTGCCATCTTGAAACAATTTAATGAGAGCATACACCATGTGTTTATTCCTTCTACTGCTACTACTACCATTGATGTTAGCCTGCCAATTATACAGTACTACCAAGTTTATAAAAAGCCTTTTCACAGACATAAATTAGAATAATACTTTGCAGCATCTAGCACAGTGCCCTTCTTATATAAAATTCATAAAATTATATTGTCAAGGAGTAATAGTTATGGAGTGCCTTTTATATACTACAGTGAGAGCCATATGAATCAAAAAGTCATCCTCTGGCTGGATGTAGGTAGACACACGTAATCCTTGCAAAAGCTTTGCAAAGTTTTGCTATCCTGAGTTTAATAGGCTATTTTCACCTATCACCCCTGCTCCATTCTTTACCTATTTATTAATCATTGCATATTGTCTCACTTTTAATTGTAAGGGCTAAGTGCATTTGCTGTTACCTCATTTCTCAAGTGTAGCAAGTTGATCATCAACTGAGATATGACTGGTCTCCCTTATGCTTTGAAACTGGACCAGTCTTCAGAGGCAGAGCTCACCTGAGCTGCTCTTAGTGCCCTATGAACCTCTCTAGGCCATTTTACTGCACCATCTTGCCTCTCCACCCCACTCCCCATCATTCCATCTTTATATGCCTTTCTCTCATCCCAGAAAAAAAATTTTAAAACACTTTAGAAAATAAAAAACACCAACTATTATTTGAAATATCACTGCAACATTTAAGGCTTTTAAAAAAGACCACCAAAATCCATTTGTTACGTGCCTCAACTTTTCATTTAAGCATTAAGACAATGCCAAATTTTAGAATTTTATACCTGAAATTGCAAAGAATAAATGAATTGCTACTCATATTTTCCTAAGTTGTTTTAACTTTGGAAAGTGGAAATTCTGCCAGCCTAGAATACTGGACGGTAAGAATATGACAGGCCTTCTGTTTATTGCAGCACTATTTATAATAGCCAAGCATCGGAAACAGCCCAGATGCTCCACAAGTGATGAATGGATTAAGAAAATGTGGTTATATATACACAATGGAATTTTATTCAGCCATAAAGAAGATGAAATTATGTTTTTTGCACATAAATAGATAAAACTGGAGAACATCATATTAAGAGAAGTAAGTCAGGCACAAAAAGTCAAAGGTTGCATGTTTTCCCTCATATGTGGAAGGCAGACCTATAACTTAAATGTACACATAATTACATATTTGATATATTTATATGATCATATATGTAATTATATGTACATTTGTCTGTATTGTATTTATATGTATACATATATATGTATATGTATCGTGAGAGAGAACATATTAGTGGTTCTGTCTGAGGGGACTATGGGAGATGGGAGAAGGAAAGAAAATGTTAGAGAGTGAGAAATATTGAAACATCCCATCTATATATGAATATAATGTAATGAACAGTAACCTGTTGAATAATAAATAGGGGAGCGTGGTGGTAGAAAAAGAATAAGTAATTGGGAGGTTAATCTGATTAAAGCATGCTATATACATGTCTGAAATGCCAAGGCGAAACCACCTTGAACTATTAATATACACTTTTTAAAAAATGAAGGCGATGAGGGTAAAATAGGTCTTTTCCAGGTGTGTGGCACAAAGAAAATATGAATGAGTTTGAATATAGTAGATGAATTTTGTATGCATATATGAAAATAGAAGAATGAAACCTGTTGAAATTGTTCTAAGGGAAGAGGGGAGAGAGGGAGAACAATGGAGGAGTGACTATAATTAAGATACATTGTAAACACATATGTAAATATCACAATGTCTCTTCCCATACAATTATTGTATGCTAATAAAAAGAATATGCTAGGCTTTCTCTACATGGAACATACCTAACACATAATTTATGATGGGGGAGGAAAATCACTCTTTTGTGAACTTGATTTCAAATAGATGAGGAAAACCATTTTAAATTATTTTAAAATACAGATTATACTTTTGGGTAAAATGGACTTAACTGGCATTATTTTATTTTCTGCTAGCCAAGGCTCATATTCAGATTCACACATATGGCAGATAGCATTGGACTTCATATTTTCCCACATATAAGCTCACTTAATAATCAGACCAACCCAACCAGGAAATTATTGTACCCATTTCACACAGCAGAAAATGAGGTTCAGAGAAGCAAAGTCACTTGCCTGGCATATAGAAATGCCAGGGCTGGGATTAGAACCCAGAGCTAATGAACACTCTCGCACACTAGACATACCTCTGAAATGCTCTTGCCCCAGGCATAAGTGCCTTCTTGAGGTCTGCCTCCATTTAGATAAGCCCACACTCGTTTTGTGTCGGGTTGCTTGTACAGGCTGCTCTGTGGACTGTTTTGTGCTTAGTCTCAGCTGGAGAATTTCATTTGGATTTCAGTTCTTGGGCTTCAGAAAGATGTGCCTGTCAAGAAAAGCCCAGAGAATGCCACATTTAGAGAACTATTTGATGTGTACAAGGAATGTGATGGAAGCCAGAAATATCTTGTAATTGTTAAATATTGAAAGATTTCAGGAAGTGACTACTAAGTGCGTTAACTTCTCCTGCCATAGACTCTTTGGCCAATTCCCTTTGCTTCAATGAAACATTAAAGGCATTCATTGGAGAAATAAAATAATAATGAGGCAGCCATTTTGGCAAAGCACTTAACTTTCATTTATAATTTGGAAAAATGAAGAGGGATGTGTTTCTAGACTTCTGCATGGTGTTTCTCCTACTAAGAATTTTCTCTGCATCTCAGAAATGAGTTTTTGATTTAGAATTACAATATCATTTCCTTTAACTAAAAAAACGCTTAAGGGACCGTACAGGAGCATTGTTTTAAGTTCTTACTTGCTATCCTTAGCTTGGCAAGAAGTCCTCTTTCTAGCGATGTCAATTTATTTCTGCTGGTAACTTCAATTTAGGCATACGTCTAATGTTTGGGTTGAAAACATTTCACAAGTTTGAGAAATCCTATTAAATAGGAAGACCGCATTTGATGAAAAACTTCACAAAGTAAAAGGTTTTCCCAGGTCTCTATCCCCAGTCCTCTCTGAACAGCTGACCTTTCTCTTTTCAACTTTTAAATGTCTGTCAATCCTGACTGATTAACTAATTGGACTGAAACCACTTTTTCAATTGCTCACTTCTGAATGTCTCCACTGCGGTTAGTATTTTGCTCCTTGCTCTTTTTCCATATTGAGCCATCCCCTCAGGAGTGATGAGCAATGAAGCCATAAGGCTCAACTTGACTACACTTACTATAATTACCTTTGTACATATCCACCGGGTCTTTTTCTCGTCTTTGCTAAGGTCATAATTTCTGGTCTTCATTCAAACAAAACAGACTTTCATATGAGCTGGCTGTCTCTTTCATAGCTACTCTCCAAATGCCAATTCAATGCTTGGCATATGTTTAGATGGTCATAACTGACCAGATGCTGGGAATATATTAATAGCATAATTTAAAAATTCAACATTGTACTTTTAAATTCTTATAAAAGAGGCAGAGTCTTTAATGTCAGGAATCCTAAAGAACATACCTCTATATGTCTTATAAGTTCCATAAGTTTAATTTCCTCCTGAGTCTGTTTCATCCAGCCTCCTTCAACCACTACCGGCTGTGCAGGGCTTTTGGTGGGAACCGTGGTGGCTGGCTGACATGGTGTTACTCGCTGCCCTGGGGAAAGAAGTCTCTGGAAATGTTATTTCTGATGATAGGCTTTCAAATTTCAAATAAATTGGTTTGGCTTTCTATGTATAAATTATTCCACTCAGGAGCATAGGCTAAAATACTAAAAATATCATAAAAGCAAAGATGCCTAAGGTAATAATATTTAACAATACCTCTTCGTATGGGAGCTTGAGGCTTTAAATGGCCGGGATATGCACACTCACTCCACAGATGGAAAAGAAGGATAACATGCTGACTTCCACCCTGGCCCCAGACTCGCATCGATGATATAGCTCAGCAGTGATTTAGTCAAATAGAATTCATGATCTTATTTAGTCCCCATCATCTCTTCCAGTCTTGAAACATATGTTTTGTTCTCTTCACTAATAATAAGTCTTTCCCCCACAATTAGCTTAGCAGCCTGGAGATTAAGTATTTCTAAAACAATATTAACCCAAGAGACAAGAGCTCTTTTTTTCCTATCTAATAATACCCATGAGCATGATTAGTTTCTGACACCTCTACTGTGCCCTTTATGCTGTTAAGAAGTTGTGGCAAGAGAAAATATTTATTGGAATACTGTGTTCCGAAGAGTCACCGGCATTAATTTAATAAGCATGGTGATTCAAATTTATGCATTCTTTCAACTAGACCACTTACAGTCCTTATAAAAAATATTTTAAAAACCATGCTTATGAAATAGTTTTCTTTTTCTGTGTTGGAAATATACATCACTGAAGTTCCTACTGATATCTAAATCTCTTAAGTAAATATAATGCTTTGTTTGTGTATTCCCTCCAGAAGCCTGTACTGACACCAGTTGTGAGTCAGACATTGTGCTGGATGTTTGAGCCACAAGTTTGGTAGGGAAGGCAGATGTCAAGGAAACGATTAAACCAACAGATTGTAATTGTGGTACCAGGTGTAGAAAAGCATGTGATGGAGCTGCTGACCTGGCCTGAGGCATCTGAGAAGGCTTCTTTGAGAAAGTAACTCTTGGGTTGAAAAATACTAGAACTATTAAAATGAAGGTGAGTCTCAATTTTGTTACCAAGGTACTCTTAAAGTGAAGATCTTCTGACTATGGCTACAAAATGAAACTCTTTGAAAATAATTCATCATTTTCAGAGGATAAAGAATTTGTGTCTCACATCTCAAGTTTATGAAAATAGATCTGGCAATAAAGATAAATGGCAGCAATGACTTTTTAGGGAAATTAGAACTGTATACACTTTATAAGCATTCATATGCAATTTATGAATGTGGAAAAATATAATTAAATCAATCAGCCAATGAGTTACAGCCACAAGCCACCAGGTGATGTGCTTTGGAAAAGAACACAGTGGTTCCTTAACACAAATTTATACTAAATATAGTTTTTACCTAACTTTACTTATAGGGTAGATAAGACACATAAATCTTTATGGATAATATTCTAATGAATATTTTACTTATAATGCATCTTGAGCATTAAAATTTTCAACTGAAGAGAGTTTAACAAAAGCTTATCATTTACACTGTTGAGAGGCAGAGATTGAATATAGGAGCCAGGAAAAATATTATGCATTATTTATTTTTTGTCATCTTGCTTCTAATGGCTTTAAGCAGATGAATGTATTTGCACTATAATTTTCAGGAAGATACATCATGTCATCACAAAAGGTTTTAGTTTGGGGAAAGGGTTTCACAATAAACTATTATTTATGTAGATAAGAATAACATAAATTGAAGCCAAGCAAAAATGTGATGTATAAATTATTTTTACTATTTTTTATTTTTTGTCTTCTTATTATGTTCTTCCATATTTTATTTCACATGAGATCATGGGATATAATGATATACATAACTGTTAATGGGGCATGCATCTTCCCTTCTCCTGAGCTGCCCTTTCAAGTACATGGAGACCCGCTGATTGGAAAGAGCGAGGAGTCTAGACCAATTTTTACACTTTTTTCTCTTAGAAACTAGAGAGTATGAATGCTTTGCTGTTCTTTCATATTGTAAGTCTCACCTGGACAGTTCTCCCCATCCCCCTCCTCTGTTAGGAGTCCCATCCTTGTTCAGCATCTTCTGTGCTAAAAGGGCAAATTCACCCAATTCAGGGTTCCAGCTAGCAGGTGCATTTAGTTTTTACACTAAAAGAAATGTTGCAACATCGTTTTTATATGCAACAAAGGTGACACTTTGACCTGAATTGCATTCCTGAGTTTTATTTCCTTCCTGTGTTTTACTTATTAATAAACAAAGTGGAAAAAAGGACTGCCTTCTTAGGATACCTGGTACCAATATTTATTAAATATTTGATTATATGCTAAACAAAGTGAATATTTAACATTTGCTACTTAATCACAAAATCCTTATAAAGTATTTGCTAATATTATTACTATTAATAACAGTAATTAACATACTTACAAATGAAAGGAAAAGTCAGCTTAGTGCAGTATTTTGTACATAGTATTTGTTACATTTACCAGTGGGAATAGTCAATTCAGCAACTACTCACACCTCCCACAACTGCTCTTCCATGCAACCCTCAAGAAGTGCACAATCAAGCCAGGTATAGTGATGCATACCTATAATCCCAACCCTTAGGAGGCTGAGACAAGAAAATTGATAGTGAGTTTGAGGCCAGCCTGGGCTACAGGAATAAAAAAAAAAACAAATGAAAAATTAACAACCCTGCACAATCTAAGAGGGACTGTAGTTACCTGAACTAAGACTTGTTTTTTTATTTATTCTCATAATCCAAACAGCTAGAAAAGGGCCTTTCTCAGAGTAAGTATTTTATAAGCATGTATTGAATTTACGTTTAATAGCAGAAAATATACCAGTTTGTAAGTAGAGACCAGATTTATCTCAGCATTACATTCGGAAAGAAACTACATCTGCAGATAACTTCATAATGGACATCAGCTGACCAAATGTAGACTTTCCAGTGGCGATACTGTAGTCCCTGCCAAACTAACTTTATATGTCTTTTTACTTGATGAATAAATCAAAATTCAGTAATGGCAGCTTTCCCAGGTGCTATTTTCAATATGTTGCTTTCTCCTGATTTAACTCAATACAGGAATAAAGCCTAGGATATTCCCTAAGTGAATGCTTGAAATTCCGTTCATTCTTTCATCCATTCGATCACTCTACAAATACTCAAGAGAACAAATTAGAAGGGAATAGAATTTATAATCTAATATGAGTCACATGAGCAGGTAATTAAAATAATGTGATGAGGACGATCAGAGGGGACATTCAGAGAGGGATTACCCCAGGCTTGAAATGTTGGAGAAGGCTTCTGTGAAGAAGTAACAAGTAAACTCAAAAATATAGAATGAGTAGGAATAAGCCAAGAGGACAGAAGAGGAAAAACTTTGTGCCCAAAGTTCAGAGTTTAAAAAGCACATACATGATAGGTCTGGGGTTCTAAAAGAAAATTCAGATAGACGAAGTGCTGTGAACAAGATGAGAGAGGAATTTACAGAAAATGAGACCATGAAGGGCCATAATGGAGGTTTCAACTTTGTCCCAAAGATGCTAGGGAGCCTTGAAAGAGTTGATGCCTGGATTGTCATACTACCTTTGCATTTCTGCGTGATCACTTCAACTCCAGAATATCGCCATTATTTATGTAATACAAACTACTGTTGAGACTGACTGGAAGCAAGTAAAAAAAGGCAGTTGGGTGTGTGTGTGTGGATGATGTAAGCTTGATGTAAGCATTGCAACTCATTTTAGATCAACTTTATGAATTCAAAGTAACAAGACTCTAAATATTTGAAGAAGGTGAGAAAGAGGAAGATAGCAAGAATGACTCTCGGGTTTCTGTGAGAAAACACCTGGATAGATGGTGATACAATCCACCGCTAGAGGAAACAAAGAAGCATTGGTGCAGGCGATATGACAGGTGCAGTTTTGGATATGTCTATGAAACACTCAAGCGAAAATGTCGAGTAGTATGAGTAGTAGACATTTGGAGGAGTAATATATGCTTTTCACTTATACTCTACCCTCATTCCTTTGTTGAGAAATGGACGATCATTTCAAACCAGAGTTGTCTTCTGCATTTAGAACTGTTTGTGTTGTTTATTGAAGCCAGATTTACATTCTTTTGATACACGACAGTGCAAATACTCAGAAGTTGAAATTCTGTTATGCCAATTACAAAGATTGTGATGTATTCCCTCCTTTAGTCCATAGAACATTGTTTCTCTCCAGAGAGAGAACTCCAAAGAATCACTTGGACTTCAGTAGTATAAAGTCAAGATCCTAAGATTCTGTGACAAAGAGAATGGAACAAGAGGACAAATAATGCCAATTGATTACTTTGGCTATGAATAGCATATCTCATGCTGCATAGAAAGGAGGAGTCCCTGAGACATTGACGTGACCTTTGAAGATTTCAGTACTCCCTTATTTCAAAAATAAGCCTCCTGAACAAAACTTCTTCCTCAGCAAAAACCAAGGAATAATAGCAAACTTTTGCTTAAAGATTAATTCCAAAGCCCATAAAATATTAATTCAGGGATTATTTCACAAGTAATAGGAGACATTGTCTTAATTCTTTAATGTTTATATAAGTTATTTGATATTCCTTCATAAAATTTACAAATATAAAACCAGTAATAAAAGACCATGGTATTAGATTTTGGACTTTGCTTAAATGACTTGTGTAGCACAATATTTATTTACTATTTATTGGTTAAACACCTGTATCTAATGGTAAAAAATAACTATCCGAAATTGAGATTACATTTAGAATTAAACATGGTGATGCCTGGTTTAGTTAATACTGACCTTTTAACTTTCTCATTTTGTGTTTCATGGTATCTAAATCAGCCAAAATTTTGTCCTTTTTCAGCCATTTCTGTTTCACTAATTTTTCTGCTTTCTGTAAAGCTAACATAATAAAAACACATTTTATCTTGCATTCTTTTACCAACAGTAATTCATCATGAACACCAATACTTTATATAGAACTTTCTGCTTCAAGAAATAGATTCAATTAGAATCAAGTAATTAAGAGGTAAGGGTCATTAAAAGAAACCTCATTTGAAAGATGACAGGGCTTAAGGCATTTCTTTATGGAATGGAGAGAGAAAAAAAAGAACAGTGCTGTTTTATTATATAGATTTACCATATGCAATAGCCATATTTCATTTTCCACTTCCACAAACTATTTGGAGGTGATGAAAGCCTGGCTTGGAACCATTCATTTTTTAAACATCCACCTACTGCCTAAAGGGTGCAATTCTTAAAAATGAAAATGTGCAGACAGGTCGTCCTCAGTGTGAATTAAACTCATTTGTTATTTTCTAATGTATACCATTATTCTCAGTCTTATAGACCAAGGATCTCTTTATCAACTAAATTAGACATTTCTCCATGCAGAATACTCCATTCCAGTAAGAAAATAACAGTCAATTGTGCAAATACTAGAGTATAACTATCCTTGTGCCCATACTAATTGATGGACCTCCTGTTCTTTTCATAAATGTAACGTTATTATGTTGACATTCTACAGGTTTAATCCATTTTCATATGATGACAGAAGATTTATCTCTGTCTCCCTTTAAAGACTTGCTTGAAAGAAGCAAAAACAAGAAAATTACCATTTGGAGGTAGAAATGCTTCAAAAGCAACCCAGATGGCAATAGGATTTCTAAGAATGAGGGTGAGCAAAGACTTATCTATACTATCCAAACTATCGGATTTCACAGACCCTGAAAATAATTTATTTCTCACTTTCATCCTTGGGTTTTCTGGAAAACAAATGACATTTGTTATTTTCAATGGATAATGAATAAATATGCTTTCTGGATTCATTTGTTCATGAAAAATATTTCATTCTTCATTAATGACCTTATTTATAAAGTCAATACCAAAATTAGAGACCAATACATAAATTTGGTTAGCTTCTCAATACAACAAAAGTAGAAAATCTCACACTAAGAAAACTCTACTGAATCACTACTAGCAAGATTTCCTTTCATTTCACAAATTCTTGTTCTGGACATGGTCCCTGTCTTCAAGCTGTACATAATCTAACAAGATACACAAAGATGTAGACAGATAATCATAATGTAATGAACTAAAAGCCGCAGTAAAGGGCATTGACTGGAGCTTCTAGTAGTTTACAGAAGCAGTGGAGACCAGCAGGGGCAGAGAAGCAGACTTGGAGAATAAGATACCATCTTTTCTAGTAGTAGAAAGAGATTTACATTGATATAGTGACAATCTCTTAAGTCGTCTCCAGTTGGTTTTTGGTTCTGAATTTAAACAGAAGATGCTCGTGTTTCATAAAGCAGCTAAACAGTCAAACATATTATTAATTTTATGCAATTTATTTTTGCTTGAGTGTTAAAACCAAATTTTACATAATATTTTGTTTTCTTTTTCTGCAAAGTAAAATCAGGATGAGAATCTCATTGATACTCATGGAATTCCTTACAAAAGTAGCTGGCTAAGATTAAAATTTTCTAGCAGTGGCAACTAAATAAAAGAATCACATTTAACTTTTTCATGGTTGAATATAAATAGAACCAGCTAATGCCAGTAGCTAAAGCCAACCTTCCATACTTTCTGTGGCTATCTCTTCTGTTGCAACAGGATTTATGTCTTTCTTTTGTTCCTCAGATTCTCTCTGGATACAGGATTCATCTAGAGCCCATAAAACCAATTCACGCAGGGTGAAGACTGTGGTTCCATCTCTAGTATATACTGTGGGGGCTCGGGCAAGTCCAAGTTGTTTCATGCATTCTGTAAGAAGCTATATAACACAAACTGTAAGGGACTGGCATGAAATAATGACTGAACCGGATTAATAGTGAAGAGTTTGCCACTTTAGAGATCAGAGAAAATCCTTTAATTTGATAAAATAGAAATTGGAATAACTACTGATATTGAATTTTGATTAAAGATAGTTTTTGATATTGGATTGCCCTATCTAATCTCACATCAGTGCAGTGTAGCTGTGAACATTCTTAGCTCTAAAAATTAGCCCAGCAGCTGATGTACGTTAATACATTTCAGCATTTTATAAAAATGTTTAGCCTAGAAGTCTATTTTCAATTTTTGGTGCTTTATAAGGCATAAAATTGTTGGAGTATTTCAGATTGATAAACATCTTGAAAAAAGTGAATATCTAACTTTATAAACAATAACTGGCATGTACTATTGCCTTCATTTTGCAGATGGAAAAAATAGGCTGAAAGTTTAATATTTTTGCTCAAGACCATGGGTTGGTCTTGGAATTACTAATGTCTGTATTTTGCTTAGCTCAATGAACAACAATATTTTAATAACAATCCATATTTAACCAAAGAGGTGAGTGAACAGGTGTATGTGTGTGTGTGTGTATGTGTGTGTTTGCACAGTCTGCCATGTAATTCCACATCATACATCATGTTTTATGTCACTTGTAAAATATGTTATTAAAGGTAAAATGTCTAGACAGGCTAACCACAAGCAATGGAAGGACAAAGCTGTGTTTGGGCCTTCTGAGCTTTCCTCCCTTCCTATGATGGTGCAGCCTCCAAAACAGACACATAGTCCCTCATAACATAATCCCCAAAACAGACACATAGGCCCTCCTAACATGATCCCCAAAACAGACACATAGTCCCTCATAACATGATCCCCAAACAGACACATAGTCCCTCATAACATGATTCCCAAAACAGACACATAGTCCCTCATAACATGATCCCCAAAACAGACACATAGGCCCTCCTAACATAATCCCTGATTCTCCAATTTAAAAGTGAAATGAAATGCCCTATCAACAAATAAGTGTTCAGATCCACCAGATTACACCAGACGACAAATGACCACTCAGGTGATATACAACTTGAAGCTGGCATGGGCAGCAAAGAAGAAAAAAGACTCTACTACAAGAACAAAGAAAACCTGATAGCACTGTTTTCCCTCTTATTTTAGATCTTTGCTCCAGAGCCAATCTAAAAACAACATTCTGGTTTCTCTCTCTCTCTCTTTTTTTTTCCTAAGTCTGTATCCAAAGAAATAAAATAGAAAAGAATACCTCGAAGAAAACAGAGATCTTGATCTCATCAGCTTAAATTGGTGAATCTGACCCGAGACATTTATCACTTAATCCTACTGCATTTTGATACCAGGAGAATCATCATTATCATTACTTCTGAGGATGCAAGCAGCATTTAAGTGATAGCCACTTACCATGGGGAATGTTCCAGCCACAACTAACTTCCCATTACGATATCCATCCCCATTTTTGTATGCAATTATTTTCACTGCGTTCTGGTGCAGAGCTGCAGGTCTTCATCCGTAAAGACAATAGACATTCTTTATAATAACTTAGAGTTTTTTCAGCCTCAGAAGATGATAAATCAGCCTGATTTGTTTAAAAAATTATACGGTTACACAAACTTTTCTTTTAGTTTTGTTATTTTGGCATACTTCAATCTCTTCACTTAAGGACTGTGTGTATGTGTAGGTAGGATCTAAATTTTGCAATGCTCACTTCACATACTGTAGACATTGGATGCTATAGTCATAAGTACTTTGGGTCAGAATTCCTGTTTTCTTTCCAGCCCTGTCATTGAGCTACTAAGTGACCTTTGGGTATCTAGTTTGTGTTTCTGGCCCTCTCTGGTTTTGTTTGTTTGTTTTGGCAATGGGACAGGTGTTTGTTTGTTTGTTTGTTGGAGGGTGGGATTGAAGGAGTTTTTATTTGTTTCTTTTTTATTTCCTCTATGACAGGAGATGGGGAAGAAGATATCAGGGTCAGAGAGAACCTGGGGTTGAAATAAGGGGACACTAATACTACAGATATTCTCTTAATTTTTAACTTTAGGAGAATGCCATCCTATGGTGGGTGTTGATGAGGAAGGTGGGGAAGGAGAGTGTTGGACACCACTCCAGCCTTCCCCTTGGTCCTTACTTAGGTTCCTACCCTGAGGGAGAAGCGCTGTCTGAGATGCTATAACACTGGGGTCCTCTCCAATCAGCTCTTGCCCTCAGGCTTCCCAGAGAACTGATGCTGTCTTCAGAGTTTCTGTTTCAGTTGATGGTGACTGCAACCTGTCTATTACTGCTCCTTTCCCTATGTGGATCAGGATTAGGAGAGAGAAAAGGGTGATTTGGGAAGGGGTGACAAGCTCTGAGGAGCACACCAGGCTGCAGTATGCCCACCTTTTAGGAATCACTCCTTTTTACTCAGAGATTTTTTTTTTTTTTTGGCAGAACTGGGGTTTGAACTCAGGGCTGTGTGCTTACTAGGCAGGCACTCTACCACTTGAGCCATACCTCCAGCCTCCTTTTTACTCAGGTATATAAGTTCCCTCAGTTCTTTACACTTCTAAGCTTGAAGGACAGATTTTTGTAAATGGTGCATTTTAAATTAAGGTTATAAGAAAGTGGCAGAGGTTTTTGGTTATTTATTTTTTCCTCTAATTCCAGGAGCTCCAAATAGTATTAGACATGAATTCATAAATTCAGACACCTAACCTGAACAGTTACTAACAACAACCTGTCAAATTCCCCCTGAAAAGCTCCAAACTCATGAAAAGGAGTTTACTCTATGGATAGAGGCAGAAAAGTTCCTGCACTGAGTAAAGATTTGCAGCTACTTCTTCACCTAAAAGCCACTTGGAGCAAAGTGAAAGGCACCAGCAGATTAAAGCTGCAGAAGTGTCCAATTAGCTTCAAAGGGTAGATCGAAGTATTAATAGACAATGTATTTTAAATTGCATTGGGGTAAAGGAAATCAATGCAGGCAGGATGGTAAAGGTGGATCTGAGGAAGATGAATTGGATGAGAGGAGATGAACTTGAATTTGGAATAGATAATGAATTCATCAAAGTTTCCAAACTGTTGCCAATCATGCATTAGCAAAGCTCAGATCATTACTTACCTTGGCCACACTGATGACCTTGAAAGGCCCTTGTGATAAGGGCTTCTGGGTGTTGGAGACTGAAGCACAGAAGAATGGAATCCCTGGAACCAACTATTTCAGTCCTTTCTTTGCTCTCATGGATAGTCCACAAGCCAGGCAGAGCATTTTTTTACTTTCCACCAGGTGAGAGATAATAGTATCCCTAAAATGAGCAAAAGCACACTTTTATATAGGTGTGTCTGAATTATGATAGCATTTCTGCAGAACACTTTATAATATAAATAAATCACTTTTATCATCATCAAAAGGTAAATTTGAAATCACAGCATAAATGCATTATTTTGCTCCCTACTAATTGTATTTTTAATATGGTATTTCTAAACTCTGCAATGGTAAATCAACACCAGGGACTATAGCCATCAGTATTTCTTGGAGGAATGGCGAGTCCCAAATAAAGGACAGAAAATACACAATATAAGCAAGAGACATCTTCTTGTGTCCTAGAGTAAACAAATCGTGTCAGAAGACATAGGAGCCAACATACAGGAGCTTCTACTGGCTCAAAAAGAGACAATGTGAGAGTAGCAAGAAGAACGATAACTGAAACATTTTGATTGTTTGAATATTTAAAATTCCATGAGGCAATCAACATAAGTAAAAAAACAAATGAAAAGACTCAAACAAATAGAAAAAAAAAGCACAACTCATTGGACACCATTGGGAGTAAACTGGTACCAATTTATAAGTCTGAAAGAAAACTGGCCATTATGATCATTAGAAAGTGTGGCAGAATATTTCCAAAGATGGACACAGTAAAACCATTCCAACCTTGCTTGCATGCCCTTTTGAAGTATGACTTTGCTGTTCCTCCAACCAAGAGGCAAAGTTTCTTTCTCCTTATTGCCTTTCACATGACTTGAGTTGGCCCAATGTAGCACAGGCAAATGCAAGGCAAGCAGATGCATATGAAAAGCTTTCACATTGTGACTTGTTCTCTTTTGGCTCCAGCTGGAACCCTGAGACCATAACGTGAACAAACTTGAGCTAGCTTTCTTGAGAAGCCAAGAAGTTGGAGAACCAATGCCCCCAGAATACATGTGAGAGAGGCCATCTTTGACCATCCAATCATCATAGAGCCATAAATTATTAAAGAACCACCAGAAAACTATAGCCACATTAGTGACCCTTGTCAAGGCCAGCAGAATTGCCTAGCTATTCTCAGTCCAAATTGCTTGCCCATAAAGAAAAAAAGAAAAAAAAATTGGTACAAGTCACTAAGCTTTCAGTTGGTATGCTATATTGCAAAAGATAAGACAGATAAAAAGAACTGAGCACTTATTCTACCTTTCCTTATAAGCCATATTTAAACCATATTCTGGGGAACTCAAATATCTAGTTGGCAAGATAATGTTCTTCCTAATTTTACATGTTCAGCTAGTAAGTATAGGGAAAAACCATATAATTAGAAAAAATTCACTCTTTTTAATCAAAATGGTGACATTGAATAAAAAGGCATAAGAAAATTCTTTACTCTGGGATCAGGTTGAAATCACCTGAACCAACTAATAACTATTATCACTAAAAGTAGAAAACCTGTCTAGTTGGTTCACCTGAACCAACTAATAACTATTAACACTAAAAGTGGAAAACCTGTCTAGAGTGATAAATATGAAACACACAGGAAAACTTATGAAGGCTCTGGCTAAAAAATGTTAAGCAAAAATCTAATTATAACTCTAGTGCTGAATTTCATTTACAGAAATTATGGGAGAAAATATGGAATCCAGAGGATCTTTGGGAATACTTTGAAAACCTATACTATAATAAATTGGAAAACATAAAAGAAATTGATAAATTTCTAAATGCATATGACCAACCAAAATTGAGCCAAGAAGATATAACCTACCTAAATAGATCTATAGAAAACAATGAAATTGAAGTGACAGTAAGTCTCCCAAAAAAGAAAAGCCCAGAACCTGATAGATTTACTGCTGAATTCTATCAGACCTTTAAAGAACTAACACCACCAACACTCCTCAAACTATTCCATGAAATAGAAAGAGAAAGAACACTGCCATACTCATTTGCTGACATCAGTATTACATTCATCGCAAAACCAGAAAAGGACAAAACAAAAAAATGAGAATTATATCTCTCAGTAATGAGCGTATATGCAAAAAGTCTCCATAAAATACTAGCAAACTGAATTCAACAACAAATCAAAAAGATTATACACCATGATCAAGTCTGTTTCACTGCAGAGGTACAGGGATCTTTCAACATAAGCAAATCAATAAATGCAATAAAGCAAGACAAAAAAGTGAGGACAAAAATGACATGATCATCTCAAAGATGCAGAAAAAAGCCTTTGACAAAATTCAATATCCTTTCTTGAAGCTAGCAGTAGAAAGAATGTCCCTCCACGTAATAAGGCTATATATGACAAGCTTATAGCCAGCATCATACTGAACCGGGAAAAACTGAACATTTCCTCTAAAGTCAGGAATGAGACAAGGGTGCTACTCTCTCTACTCTTATTCAACATAGTTTTGGAATTCCTAGCCAGAGCAATGAGACAGGCAGAAGAAATAAAAAAAATTCATATGGGAGAGGAAAAAGTCAAATTATCCCTATGTGCAGATGATATGATCTTATGCCTAAATGACATGAAAAACTTCACCAAAAAACTCTCAGACATCATTAATACCTTCAGCAAAGTAACAGGAATACAAAATCATTATACAAAAATCAGTAGCTTTTCTATATACCAATATAAACAGACTGAGAAAGAATATAGGAAAACAATTCAATTTACAATAACCTCAAAAACAAAACCTTTGTTAAATAGTTAACAAAGGAAGTGAAAGACCTCTACAATGAAAACTATAGACCATTGAAGAAAGAAATTGAAGAGGGCACCAGAAGATGAAAAGCTCTCCCATGCTCATGGTTCAGCAGAGTTAATATTGTGAGAATGGCTATACCACCAAAAGCATTCTACATGCTCAATGTAGTTCCCACCAAAATTCCAGTGCCAGTCCTCACAGAGATTGAAAACACAACCCTCAAGTTCACAAAACACCACAAATAGACAAGGCAATACTGAGCAAAAATAGCAATGCTGGAGGTAACACAATACCTGACATCACAGTGTACTTCACAGCCATAGCAATAAAAACAGCATAGTACTGGCACTAAACAGATATGAAGTCCAATGGAACAGAATAGGGGATCCAGAAATAAGTACATGCAGCCACAGCCACCTGATTTTTGACAAAGGCACCCAAAACACACAATGGAGAAAAGACAGCCTGTTTGACAAATGCTGCTGGGAAAACTGGATATCTGCCTGCAGAAAACTGAAACTAGATCCATGTCTTTTGCTCTGTACAAATACCAATTCAAAGTGGCTCAAAAACCTCAATATAAGGTCTGAGACTGAAACTGCTGAAGGAAAGAGTAGGAAATTCATTGAAACAAATAGGCACAGGCAGTGACTTCCACATATAACTCCAGTGGCTCAATAATTTCAGAGACTTGAAAAATGGGACTACACGAAACTAAAAGGCTTCTGCACAGCAAAGGAAATCATCACCAGACTGAAGAGACAGCCCACAGAATGAGAGAAAAATCTTTGTGAGCTATACATCTGACAGGGATTAATAACCAGAGTTTATAGGTTGCTCAAAAAACTAAACTCAAAAAAATCAATGATCCAATGAAGAAATAGGCAAATAAACTGAACAGAAACTTTTCAAAGGAAGAAGTGCAAATGGTCAAACACACAAAGAAATGCTCAATACCCTGGCCATAAAGGAAATGCAAATCAAAACCAGTTTAAGATTCCATCGCACCCCTTTAGAATGGCTACCATCAAGAACACAAATAATAACAAATGTTGATGAGGATGTGGGGAAAAAGGAACCCTCATACAATGCTGGTGGGAATGTAAATTAGTACAACCACTATGGAAAACAGTATGGAGCACCTCAAAAATAGAACTGCCATATGATCTGACAATACACTAGGGATATACTCAAAGGAATGTAAGTCAGGTTACAATAAAGACACCTGCACACCCATGTTTACTGCAGCATTATTTATGATAGCCATGCTATGGAAATAGCCCAGATGCCCTACAACTGATGAATGGATTTAGAAAATGTAGTATATATACACAAACAGACTATTAGTCAGCCATAAAGAAGAAAGAAATTTTGTCATTTGCAGGTAAATGGATGAACCTGGAGAACATCACCTTAAGTGAAGCAAGCCAGGTTCAGAAAGACAAAGGTTGCATGTTTTCTCTCATAGTGGAAGATAGATCCAAATCATATATACATATGATACATATGTGTGTGTACATATATATGATGTACATATACATATGTATGTTTGGGAGGAGGAAAGAAGAAAAGTATGATAGATGGTGAATAGTAATGAAATACATCACATCAGTATAGAAACAAAAAACACTGCAAACTGTTGAACAATACACAATATGGGGAAAAGGAAGAGTAATAGAGGGGGTTGAACTCATTAAAGTACAATATTTTACAGGTAAAATACCAAGGCAAAACCCTACTGAATAATGAACAGACACAATGAAGGTCAGGAATGTAAAATAAGTCATGTTAAGGGAGGGTAGTAGCAGGAGGAGGAGGGTAAATAAGGGCAATAAAAAGGGTAAATATGGTTGAGGTACTTTCTAGGCATATGGAGCATTGAAACCTGTTGAAGTCATTTAAGAAAGGGAGTGGAGAATGATGGAGGGGATAAACCAAACCTGGGCACATTTGTATATAGGAAATGTCACAGTGAAATTCCATGTATAACTACAATATACTACTAAAAACATTTAAAAATAGAACATAACAATTATTTAATATGTTGGAGAATCTGAGGGAAAATTACTATTGAGTGTTTGCCAAATTGGCTTCTTGGGGAAAAAAATAGCAATTGTATGTAAAAACTAAGTAATTGGCCAATGATGAGGAGAATTAGCAATTATTTGCTTTAATTTTTATTTTTTAAATTGTAAATTGCTAAGTTACAATTGCATATACTTATGGGTACAAAGTGATGTGATGATTTAGGAATACAATGAAGAGCAATTTAATCAAGCAACTGACATACCTATCACCTCAAATGCTTTCCATTTCTTGTGGTTAAGAACATTTGAAATGCACTCATTTAACAATTGTGACATGTTCAACACATTATTACTTATTACATTCCCCATCTTGTGTAGTATATCTCAAAGTTTAAAAAATGGAACGCATGAAAAAGGTGAAAAGAAATTATGGGGAAAGAGAAATGAGTCAAATAACGCCACAAGGAAGCCAACAAACAAATCCAAATACATTCAACTCAGTAACAGACTCAGATTATGCAACCAGAAGTCACCTGAACTCCTTGTTCAAATGTTGACTCAAACCAACAAACCATACAAGAATTTTTAGGACAACCTGGAAAACTTGATTAAGATCAGCCTATTATACAGCTAATAAGTTATTGTTAATTTTGTTAGTTATGATAAAGGGATGACGATTATGCCAGAAACCTTTCAAAGTTTTTAGAAGTGTATGCTTAATGTAGAAGTAAAATGACACCATGTCTGGGACTGGCAATGTGACAAAACCTTGATAATAGTTAAATTTGTATGATGAGTAAATGAAGATTCATTGTCCTCTACTATATTGGAATAAGTATGAAAATTTCCACAACAGAACTTTAATATACTTTTACGTAGACTATTCAATTTATTTATTTTGTTTTTCATAATTTTGCTTCATTCTTTCCTAACTAGAATCACAGAGTCTGAGTGATTTCATGAAAAAGTCAGTGTACAAGTTGGGCTTTGTAGTGTACGCCTGTACTCAGGAGGCTGAGGCTCCTCAGGAGGATGGCAAGTTCAAGGCCAGCTTGTGCTACATAATGAGATCCCATCTTAAAACACAAACAAGCAAAAATGTTCAACTTTTGCTTTGCTGTAGAGAAAAACAGCTTGTTGTTTCATTAAATTATTCCACTTTTCCTTTATCTTTGCATGAGGAGACGCTTACTGGTTGATCAATGTTTTCTTCTTTTATGACAGATGATGTCCAGACACCGGCAAAATTTGCTGATGTGATCTCCTTATCTAGGGCAGTGCTGTGAAAGGCCACAAAGGCTTTCATATTTCTTTTGTAATGCCATTTTTGATTGGCAGTTCCATTGTTGGAGGGCTTATATTTCTGAAAAAAAAAGAGACAAAATATGGAGTCAAATAGACAGGTAAGTTTATTGAAATGGTTATAGCAGTCAGATTTTTTTCATTGCAGAAATTCAGAAAGTACACATGATTACTCATAATTGTACTGTGCAATGATAAATGCTATTGCTATTTTGGCAATTATATACATAATCTTTATACTTATGAATACATATTCTTTGACTTACAAAAATAGAATCACAAAATATGTAATCTGGTAAATTTTCTCACTTACTATTTCATGTCTCTTTTTCTAACATTTTTGAAGACTATATAATCAATTCATCTTAAGCATATTTTATTTTACTAGTCTCTAATAATTAAACATGTAAGTTATTTCTTAAAATTTTCCAGAAGTAGAGTTGCTAATAAAATATGATCATTTTAAAATGTCACATAAAAATCCTTCCTGAAGATTATCTTACCTTACACTTGCACCACTAGTACATGAAATTGCCTATTTTCCTCCTTCATATTCTGGCCAAAAACGGGCAAAATCTCTCTAAACAACAGTTTACTAAATGAAAAAAAAAGTACCTTGTTGATATTTTTAATTTCTCTTTTACTGATATTCAAGAATTTTTTCTAAGAACATTCAGTTAACTATGTAATAGAACTAGGATATGTACTCTATTTATAAAACTTGGCTCAAGTATAGATAAAGAAGTACTTTCATTTTAACAGGATTTAAACAAACAGATTAGGTCCAACCAAACATGTCATATACCCCAAGAGACTTTAAAACACTTACTTTGCCAAGTGAGAGATTGGTAGCAGAGAAGAAAATAAAGGAGTCTTAAGAACTGATTTAATGGGTCAGACAATAGAGCCTCCTTTAGAGGGCTGGAAAACAGAAGGCTGTGTTTTCAAGAAATAGTCTAGTAGCATTAACTTAACATGCCTCATTTCTATTATTTTACACAAACTTTAATATTTTTCACAGAAGCTGATTGCTTCAATAAATAAAAACGAAACACTAGCAAAGAAAAAAATGAAAGGCAATTCAAATTTGAGATTAAATTTATTTCTTATGAAATAGAGAGAGCCTCAGGGAAAGACACCGTATCTGCAATTTTATAAAGCTGATTAAGGTGCTAGGTTTGCATCTGTATGCATTTCATTTCACCATCATGTGTACTAAGGAAGTACCTAAAAGAAAAGAATGTAATGAGATGTATATGTGTCTCCTAGAATAAATTTTTCGCCCTTATTTATCATGAGGACAGAAGATTTAATTAAGCTTTGATACGTGTCCAGATTGCCATGTCCCACTTTTGGATTCCAAGCCTGCAAAACAAGTTGCTTCAGTGCTATTAAAAACACAGAATAAAACACATATTATTTGGAAATAATTATTCTGTTCAACAAAAAGATGGAAAATACTGTTTAGGGTATAGAAAATAAATGCAAAGCAAGAACGCTTCTAACTTTGTTGTCCCAAAAAGGAAAAATATCCACTTATGAGTGTTTTTGTTCTAAGTGGAGGATAACAAGACAAACAGGAAAAAAAAGAACCTCCTAGGTCTTTGCCCAAAACCCAAATGAAGCCAGGCTTCTCTGGAGCTCCACAAATTGTTTGGCTGCTATAAGCATTTGCAAAACTGTATTAAAAGCATGCTGCAAATGGTTGCTTAGTAGAATTAACACTGTGGGCTCCCTTCTCCAAAATGACCTTTCTGATCAGGCTGTCTCCCTTCAGTTTCCAGGAAAGGAGGCCTTGCCTATAATCTCGATGGCCAAATTTAGGTGCATCTAACGACCATTCACTTGACTGTCATAAATGCCGTGACTTCTGCTGGGACAACTTCTCCTGCTTACCGTTGGATTCGATTTCAGTAACTAGCATAGGGCCTGACATGCAGCAAGCCTACAATCACCATCTGTTGGATTAAACTAAATTGAGAGATACACGAATGTGCTCAATTTGAAATCTGGGCACATGATTATAAATATTTTAACAATGACATTCAAGATAGCATTCTATGACAGTTATTCTTTGACTCCATGTCAGGAAGCATGGGGCTTTACTTCAATTCAATTAAAGGGCTATGGTTACTCCCTAGCCTGTATATATCTTACCTGAACAATAACAGGATAGCTGTAGGCTTCATTTTGAGCCTTGGTCATAGATACTGCCAGGACAAGGTCTGGGTTACTCAGCAGGTGAAAGGTCCTTGAGAAAATAGGATTAATCGCATTACAAAGTAGCCTGAGCAGATTAAATCTCTTTCTGTGCCACTTACTAGGGTGTTGCCTCTCAGCTCCAGGCATGCTCTGTGATGTGGATGTGAATCTTATTCCCCTCTGTGGTAAGCAGGAGGTTACACTCGCTCAGTAGAGAGTGCTAAAAGAACATGGCAAGGAGGGGCTTCCTGTTCCTTCTGGCTGCTTCATGGGAACAGACTTGAGAGTGAAGACATCCAGTGATGGCATGGATATGGTTCAAAATCCATTTTAATATTTTACATGTAATATATACATATCTACTAGTCCATGTTTTATCACAGTTTAATTTTTCTTTATATTCTACTTTCTCTAAATCACAGTGTTGCCTCTATATACTACTTCATACAGTGCAAACATGGTACTGCTACATTGTAGTCTAATAGTTGTTATACTGTATTGTTTAGGGAATAACAAGAAGAAAAAATATGTACATGTTTAGTACAGACTCAATTTTTTTTTCAAAAATATTTGGTCCTCAGTTGAATCCACAGATTCAAGAAACCATGGATACAGAGGACCAACTATATAACAAAAGCTGTTCAACTGTGTCCTTGAAATGGGTGATTTGTATGGCATGTGAATTGTATCTCAATAAAGAGATAGAGAACAATCTATTTCCAGATTATTCCCAGACTGATAAACCCTTCTTTCCCATTTTGCTATTATTGAGAGCAGTGAGAATCATTAAATGGATTCTGGAACTGCACTGCTTAGGTTTGAATCTTCTGTCCACCTCTCCTTAGAAATATGACTTTGTTTAATAACTCTGTGCCTCAGTTTCCTCATCCGTAAAATGGGACAATGGTGCATAATGTGGGAACTAAATAAATTAATACATATAAAATGCATAGAACATTATAAGGCATCTAACATTTAATATTAGCTACAATTATTAATGATTGTGGTATTTTTATGTTTTCCCTTAAATTCTACTTTTCCAAAGGAATTTTCTCTAAATGTCCAAGATATATGTTGAATTTTTAAAGTGATCTTAATTAGAGCTAATATGAAGCCTCATTTACTACAAAACAAAATGAGCATGGCTAAGTTAAAATCTTCAAATTCTTTTCCTTGCATCAGTTAAAAACAAAACTAAGCCAAACATTCAAGGCTTTAGTCTGTATAGGAAAGTCAGTTCTTTATGTCTGCCAGTGTGTTTATGTTAGACAGCAGCAAACACTGGTGTTCCCGCTGTAGAAAATATAAGTCATCCTGAAAATAAGATTTAATGATGTGGGACTAGAGGGAAGGGGAGAAAATGGGAAGGGATTCAGTATAAAAGTAATATATATTTTCCTTTAAAGACTTAAAAAATTCCAAATATTGAATTCAAATATCTGAACATAAAACAGCACATTCTCATTATAAAATATTATAAAATATAGAAAATAACACAATTTTAAAAATCACTCATACTTCTATAAGAAAAAGAGTATTAATCTTGCAATGTATTTCTTCTTGATACCTCTCAATGAGGCATCATTTTAAGTCCAAACTGGATATTCAATTTTGCAAGATGCCTTTTTAACATTTATTAGGACTGTGTACTCCAAGAGTTCATCTCTGTAGCCTTAGCATGTTGCATAGTTTACATCTTGCATCTGTATTGGCACTCAATAATACTATTATTCACATGCTTTTTTATTTCCCGTAACAACCGACTGAGGTGTCAAGACCATCTACCTCCCTAGCTCTGTGCTTTTTCTATCTAGAATAGATGCAATTGTATTTCCTTTGCTTTGAAGCCAGATTCTGCCATTATAACATTGGTTTTCTTTTTCTTTTTGAACAGTACTCAAAAATACTGGGAGTGCTTACATTCGGCAAGACACCTGAGCTTATACACTTCTGCACAAAGCAAACACCAAAGTGGAAATGTACTCTGTACTCCAGCAACATTCAACATAATACCAAGGCCTCTTTCATTAACCCATGATATGAGCACAGACAGGTCCCTTCAGAGCCTAAATGACTAATCTAGATTTTACCACAGTTAAAAATCACCTCCAAAGTTAGCCTGGTTCACTCTCCTGCGTGACTGGAAACCAAGCTGGGAGTGATGTTCACCCACTGTGCTCCAGTTACATGGGCCAGTTTAGACCATGTGCTATCCCAATGAAGCCTCGTTCTCAGTTATAATCTCCCTTATGAGGTGTTCTTGATAATTACTAAAGATGTCGGACTTCCCACATATTTTCTATTTTAAATAAGAGGCAAAAATTTAAAGAAGTAATTCAAAACTCGAAGGACAGAATGGAAAGCCTAATGGTAGAAAATTCTTAGTGATAATCACTTGATACCTTCCAGAGAGTAGCAATGAACTACTCTACACTCTGTTTATACAAATTCTGGGTGGGCAGTTTCCTTCCTTGATGCTGAGTAGGCAAAATATGGAGGATAAAAGCTGAACAGGTCCTGCCCAGGGGGGAGGGCTGGCACCTGTAGGAGGGGAGAGGAGGTGGAGAAAGGGCGCAGGGAGGGAGAGTGAATACCGTGCAAAAATGTGTACACATGTATGTAAACACAAAAATGATACTTGTTGAAACTGTTCCATGAATCAGGGCGGGGTGGGGTGGATAAAGGGGAGCAGTTGAGGGGGTGAATTCAAGTATGATGTAGTTGATACAATGTAAGGACCTTTGCAAATGCCACCTGTACCCCCACCCAGCACAACAATAAAGGAAAAAAATGTCAGTGTTTAACATAAATGAAATTTTCTACAGGTTTCTGTTGTTGTGTATCCCAACACTCTCCAGGCTTCACTAGCTTATCAAAATGGACTTTCACATCCAATTATATGAAAGAGGATAAAATATGACAAGGGAAAACATAGAAAAGAGCTCAGAATTCCTGTCACTGTGCAGACAGACTTCTACCTTCAGACATACATTGCTCCAAGTTATGTCCACACATCATCATCAAGACTTCTGCCAAACCTCCCCAACCTAAGAGTGTCTGGAATCTGTGGAGGGTGCCTCATGTGCTCATAAGCAAATCCTATCCCCTACCCCCTGCTGCTCTACCTCTTCTCTCTAGACTCTGAAATTTCCAATGAGGAATCAATCAGTTCTAACATCTTATACCAGTGCTCCTCTCTTCTGTGGTTTAACAGGGGAAAGCCTCAAGATGACAAAACTGTGTAGTGTTCTGGAAAGTAGCTGGAGATTGTAAGAGACTTTGGTGCTACCTATGGCTAGATTTTTCAAAGCAGAGCTGTTCATTGTCCAATTGCTCAGAAAGTTTTAGGCAAACTTCTCTGATTTTCCTTAACTAGCCTTCCCTTCCTCCTATTTTCTTCACAATGCTCAGAAGAATGAAGGACAAAACCAGTTAGTTATCTTTTATGAAGGCAAAGGAGGTAGGGAAGGCATGTGTAGAGGGAGGCAGGGGATTGAGTTTATGAATAGTAACAAAAATTTTTAACAGTTGGGAGTAAGAACTTTTGTAAATATCATAATGTAACCCCAGTACCCCAGTACAATACTATGATTAAAATAAGATAAAAATTGGGGATTTTTTAGAATTTTTATTTTATTGCTTCATATCATAAACAAAGTGGTAACACTAGTCTTAAGCACATCACCAGGTAAAACTATATACCCAGTAGATCAGGTTGAACATTTCTGAATCTGAGGACATGTAGCTTACTTAGCATTTATATTCCTGTCTCTTTTCCTTCTTTGATCACAATAAGTAATTATCAGCTAAGTAAAATAGAAAATCCAAAGCTCTCAACTATCCCCCTTATTACTCTGAGGACCATGCTTTGCCTCTTAGGGTCCTATCCACTTTCTGATATATTTACCTCAAATACAATGGGCTTACTTGCTGGCATCCTTGTGGATCCAGCGTTGATGACTGTCTTCAGATTTCTTCTCCACCCAAACCACCCCCATGCCTGAATGGAGGTCAGGACCTTGTACCCCCAAGACTAGCTTAGGAGCAGCGTGGCTTATGATTTGCCCCTCTCTGTATTCAAACTGCTGATGGCATACCTTTGGAATTTTCTATGCTGTGGAGAATGGCTGAGATAAAGAAAACTCTATTAGAGGCAGAAAAAAAAAGGTGCAGGCACTGGAGGCACTGGAGGTGATTAGTTCTTCTGTGAGCAAGAGCTTCCAGTTAACCTGGCAGTTAACACAACATCAGAACAACAGCTGATACAAAAACTAGAATTCTGAGTTTATATTGTAACAGAAAAAAATGTTTATCAAGAGAACATTTGCATAATTCATCAGCATATAAAAGAGCAGTTTGGATGAAGAACCAATTCAGTTAAGGAAAAAAAGATGAAATTCATAAAGAAGTATGAGAAAGAAAGCAACATGTAGAGTGAAAACAGAGAAATAAAGGAGCTCTGCTCAGGTTATGATTGTTTTTATCTACTTTCTATGCGACTCTGGCAGGTAGGAGACCAATGCGCACTTTTTTGCCAGCCTCATCTAACAAGTCATGAAATATAAGAGCAACGATACACTAATATGTTAACTTAAATGAATCTCTTACTTCAGAATCTTAAAGCATTAAGCAGTCACGTTATGTAAGTTAAAATATCACAATGCATTGGTAATTTAATTTATCTCAAGAAATCTATTAAGTCCCTACTAAATGCATGGTCAAATGCTAACTGTAAAAAAAAATGCCCAAACTGTCTAACTCACAACATCCAGTAACCATTACAATGTTAAGCAAATGTCTTATTATTATGGAACAATACAAAGTGCTATAGATTCCTGTCATTTCATTATTTGAAGAAAAATTAAAATTAAAAAAGAAGAAATTGTATTTTACTATTTTCTTAAAGACATCAGGACATCTTACAGGCTTATTCATAAGTTTACCTATACATCCATTCAATAACTATATAGGCTCTGTGCTAAATTCTCAAGATGAAAAGTTAGGTGAAACTACTGTTTCACAGAAAAGGTATGCCTGTGACCAAGAAACTACATTACCCTGCACAAAATGAACTGGCAGGAAAAGAACCTTCCTATAAATACTTGCAAATATTTTCATTGTAAACATAAGACTGAAATGTACACATTGGTAGTCAGTAGCTAACAGCAAAGAAAACATTCAGAAATTTGCTTGTCCCAATCAGAGAATCTGAGACAAGGTGGAACCATCTAGAAGGAATCCTTTGCAATGTTTTACCTGTATTTCTTTGATGGTTTCATATTTTCAAAGGGCTCTTCTTCCATTGTCTTTGGAAGTCTGTCATTCTCATCGGAGTCACATGAAGCATCCTGCCAGGCATACTTGTGCATTGTACGACTAGCATCCATTTGGAGATGCTCTTGCATGTGAATCTCTATCAAGGTTTAGAAGCAAACACAAGTCCCAGAATTCTTATGTGTGCTCATAGCATTTTTGCTGGGATATGGTCTGATCAGACCCTGTAGGATACTGATGGATCTATAAATCATATTTCCATAAGGGTCCCTAACATTAGAAACCCACATCTTATTAATACATAATTTAAATCTTTTAATACAAGGCTACAAATAAAATACCTCAACCACACAATAAATAGGATTCATCTTTGCTATTTATTCAGAAAATTGAGGCCATGTGTTATATTTCAAAAAATTATAAGGGTATTCAATAGAAATTTATAATGAATATGGAATAAGACCTCTTCACTACTGCATAAGAGAGTCATAATTCTGTCTGGAATAGTGTAGCCTAGATGACCAAGTTCCACAAAGTCCACTCAATAGACAATGTTAAGGAATCTTAATCAAGTTAACTTTTCCTCTTAATAGAGAAATCTAGAGGGACTCAAATAGCATCTGCACATATGTGCCATCTATACACTACAACATTAGAATAAATAGTCGCAGTTTGAATGATTGAGCCAGCCTTCTGGTTTCTTATTAAGACAAAGATAAACAGAAGCAGTAAGTAGCCAGTGTACAGATTCATATATATTTATAAAGTTATAGGCCACTGTTTAGATGCATAGGCAAAGCCACCAGCATATTTCAGCACTGTAAATTTGCATACATGTAAAGAAAGTTCTCTGGGGTGGGCTGTGAGCACCAAGGTGCTGGTGATAGTTTCATGTAACTGCAAACACTATTAGATTATCAAAATCTTCAGGGACATTTCCTGTCTTAGCAGAGCTGACCATACACTTTTCAAATGTAACAGCAGTGTTGCGAGTGAGTATGAAACTGTAGGTGTAAACCACTGGCTCATCCAGAGCTCCGGCCTGAGCAGCTTTTCAGGTCAAAAATCTCCCTAACAGTTGAAAGACAAGAGTGCCATCTTGTGTTAAAAGTGAGTAACACAGCTTTCCCACCAATTTCATTTCTTTGAGGAAAAAAGAAAAACTGTCATTCTTAGTTTTAAAAAAGTTAGACAATACTCTTCCCCTACATTCAGGTGTTTAAGATTCTTCCTTGGAATTTATCATCAACTCTTGAACTTTCTGGCAAATGAAGTATAGTCAAGTTAGTTTCAGAACAGTGTTTTTTTAAAAATCCATCCTGTTTCATTAATTCATTTGTTTATTCATTCGTTCATTCCTAGACCTAATCATTTACTTGTTAACCGTTCCTTTAATCAATTTTTATTGAACAAATACTAAATGATAGGCACAGCGTTCTAAGTGTTAGTCATATAGTGAAGAACAAAATGGGTAAGTGCTCACAGTTGATGGAACTTACATTCTAGTGGGAGGAAGAGCAATAATAGACAGGTAAATGAACAGATGAACAAGGTAAGTGCCATGAATGGAATGAAGCAGAACACCATAAAGGAAATTCACCAGGGTGGGATGGGGTCTACTCTAGTAATGGAGTCATCAGAGGAAGCTCCTGTAATAGTCAATGTTAAACTTGAGACATGGACAATGGGAAGGAGCTAGATCTCTGAGGACCTAGAGAGAGAGCATCCAAAACAGAGAAAAGAATAAAAGCGAAGGCCATTTCAGGAACAGAAAGACATTGATGAGACAGGTATGCAGTGGGTGGAGTGAGCTAGTTCTACACCAGGCTCAAGAGGTGTATGGGACCTGATCCTATAATTCGGTGAGGAAATAAGAAAGATCCCCCCAAAGCTCTATGTTCTGAAAGCCTTTTCTTTCACTAAAGCAAAGGCTAAGGCTCCCCGAGTTTCTTTTCCATTGTGCTTCCTATGGTTTTTTACCAGACCCTTTACATAGAACCTAGCAAACAAAAAGTTGCCTTTTAGATTTACATTCTCACGCTTGCTTTATGAACATCCCTTCTCAAACATACCAAACTTACAAGCATATTGAAGTAATTCCTGGGGGATATCTCACAGTGGCTTTCCAATGTAAGATGATATCCTCTGACATGGTTCAAAGAACTAGTGAAAGTTAGCCTGGAAGAGAGAGAACCTGTTGTGCTGATAAATAAAGACTTAAAGACTGCCAAGTAGAAGAAAGTTGAGCTTAGTACAGCAAAACAGACGGCATCATGGGATGGAGATGGTCTAAATCTTATTTTGAAAACTAGCACAGGCTGCCTTATGAATAGTGATCTTCTGGTTACTGGCAGTAAAGAAGAAGAGGCAGGAGCAATAGAGCCTGCCCACAATGTTCAGGAGAGACAGGCATTGTGCTCCAAGAGAACTCAATGCTTTCCACCTCAAGGACTCCAGGACATGACAAAATCATTGATTCTAAACAATGACAATCTCCGCTCTCAAAAATGTTTCTTTTTTTCTTACTTTCTGATTATTTTTTCAAGTGCAGACTAATAACTGAGAGTCTAGATGATATATTTCATACAAGAACATGAGAAGGATGTTAAGAAAGTTTGTGGCCAATTTCCTGACTGTTGTGGAAAATGCCACAGAGGACAACTTATTCTCTGAACACTGCCTTCAGGAGCCATTGGTAGTGTAAAGACATAGGACCAAATCACTCATCAAAATTAGAAAATGTATTCCCTAAAATAAAACTTAATGTTCTTGTCATTGAGTATAGAAAGCCTTTTTAAAAATTTATAACTGATAAATTAATTTTCACAATTATTGCAATGGCAACTGACCAGACACTTTGGGTTTTATAATTCCTTTATTCATTTAGTAAATGATAACTAAAGGCAGTTAGTCTACTCTTCCCAGAGCCCATGTGACACAGTTCTTGTCCCACAGGCATTCTCAAGTTGGTTAGGAACAGTGACCCAGAGCCTAGTTAATAGATACATTGCTACATACAATTTTTGCTGAAATTAATTTCAATGGTGAAAGGTTGTGCTACAGACATATATTGGGAACGTAAAGGAACTTTGGGTGGAAAGAAATTAATATGTGGCTCAAAGACCTGCAGCAGAACACAAATGGAATATGCCACATTCAGGCAACAGCTTATTTCTGAGCTTGTCCATGAGGCAGGAACTAAAGTGTGAAGGGGCAGTGGACATGGACTACAAATGAGGGTCAATGACAGGTATGGATGAGCGTCAGAAGAGCTTAGAATTCCAAGCTAATTTTTTTTTTCTGTCTGTAAGAGATAGCCATGAAGAACTGTATGCAGAACTGGGACATAGCTCAGTGGTACAGCATTTGCCTCACATGTGTAGGGCCCTAGGTTCAATCACTAGCACTGAAAAAAATTTTTTTAATGAACTGTATGAAAAAGATTGTGCACTAGAAAGAAAACTGTCCACAGATGGTACTTCCAGGTCACTTGGAATGAGGACTTTAGAGACAGAGATCAATGAGAAAGCTATTTCAATGAGGCAGATGACAACTGTCCATTAACATGCATCTAACTTGAACCTAAGTTAGATCCTGAAGTCAATGTTTGTGGCAACAACTCATGATGAATTCCTCAAATAAAAGTCTACAATGCTAAGATTGTAGTCTTTAAAAATAGTAAAATTACATTACAAAATATTACTGAAAGGAGATCATTGTGATGGTTGAGCATTGAAGCTGTAGGTCTACCGTTTGTCAGAAAACTAATTAAATACTAGCTCTTCACCTGCTATCAGTTTCACAAACTTGGCATGAGTTCCCTGAAAGGGCTTCATACTGTTACCAAGCTAATGAGCTGAGTTCAAAAAGCAGTCTGGTAGCTTTTCTGGTTACACTGATTACTTACAGAATTTCACTGGAAGCATTTTCTGTTGTTAAAACATCATTTTGCATTTGTTTTCCCTTTGCTTCTTTAACTTGCCTCTCTTCTCCAAAAATCGCTATAGGTTTATGCACAGCAAGCTTGCCTCCAGACACAATGTCGCTTTGAACTTCTAAAACAAGAGCTGAGCAGAAATGCACAAATTGCAAGGTCATGTTAGGTATGATCGCAGAACACTGAGAACTTGAAAACATGCTAAAACACAAATGTAAAACATTTGCAGTCATTTGGTCTAGTCATAGGTTACTCTTTAAATTAAGAAGTTGGATTTCATTTAATTCAATGCTTGTAATGTTCTTTCCTCTCAAGCTATTCTTAGTTCAAAGTACTAAAAACAGATCATTCCAAAGGCAAGTCAATTCTATATTCTAACTATTCAAATGGGCTACATTGTTTACATATGTATTGAGATCATTTATGGAATTCAAACTCATCCGTGAAAGTCTCAATGCCTTGGAAGACACAAGCAAAACTTAACTATAGAGTGTGATGGGGCAATGTTTCCAATACTATTATTTTCTTTTTTCCTTATCCTATGTAAAGAAGGAGGAGTAGCACAAGGAAAATAGAGACGCTAACAAGAGGAAATCAAAAGTCCAAAGGCAGTTTTTGACGTTCACACAGCATATGACAAGTCAACAGCCTTGTAGACAGGGTGATATTAGTCATGATTCATGATTTTTCCAAAGTCCTTTTGTTCCCATTAAGCATTCAAGGGTTTAACTTCAGTGTTGACCTGAAGAAAAAACACCATTTTTGGGCCTGCAGGATCTGATGTAGAAGACAGAGAAAGTCAGAAGACTAGCACAGGGAATCCTGCTTTTCTCTATGGGTTTCACTTAGGCTGTTTTAATTGCCAGGGAAATGCTGAGGACTCTGTCCACTGTTGAGAATACTGACAGTCACCTCTTAAGCTGTCCTTGCCCCTCCAGTCTAAGGCACAACCACATAACCCAGATCTGGTTTTGTGATGATGCAACTGGGACAAGATTCACTGAAAGGCTGGCTGGAAACCTTTTCAGAAGGGGCTGCCAAGCAGGGAGAGAAGACTGTAGAGATGACCACTGGGTCACTGCCAAGCTTTAGGAAGCCAAAGGGAGCAAAGGGAGGCTGAATCAGACAGGAAGCACAGCCCACCCAAAGCTTTGTCTGGGCCAAGACAACCAACACAAGTCACCCCAGCCATAGTCTTCAGCCAGCAAGAGTCCAGGAAGCAAGATCTACATTCTTTTCCTTTATCGTAGAGATAAACTAAAGTGAGACTCTGGAGACTGAGAAATCTGAATGCCTAAAAAACCTAAAAAGACTAACTAAATTAGTGGATGGGACAAAATGTAAACCTGACTGGACACTGTTTTGGTTTTTTTTTTTCCTTGATGGAAATGCATGAGGCTCACAAAGAAGCCATAACTGTCAAAGACAAAATAAAGAGATGATGAGGGTTTTTTTATAAATCCAAATTAACCCTATTAAATATATAAATTAGTCTAAAGAGCTGAATAGCAAGATGCAATGGTGAAACATGATCTGTTTAGACAAACTTGATTTTAATAGAAACACAGTATCACCAAGTGTTTAAATTTGGTTGCCTATACTAAGGTAAAATAATTTCAATGCTTACCTTCTACCTTATGTGTGCTGCAGAAGGTCTGAATTTTGGAAATGTCAGATGCTAGGTTTCTGAGGAAGATTTGCTTCCTTTGCTGAGCAATAGAGAGGTCAGGGTCCATCCAAAGTTCTCCACATGAAACATACACCTATCAAGAAAAGGAGTCTCTGATCCTATATAAAACTGTTCACAGCAGCGTTATTCGTAACAGCCAAAGCTGGAAACAATCACAACAATCAAACTACTTTATAATAGGTGAGTGGTCAAACCCTGGTGCCATGGAATGCTATTCAGTATTATAAAGGAACAAAGTAGTGACAAAGGCAACAATTTTGATGGATTTTAAAGATTTTGTAGTGAGTAAAAATAGGACTTTATATTATCTCTACAACTCCTGTGGGCCTATCATTATTTAAAAATAAAAAGGTTTTAAAAATAATTTTTCATGAAAAGAGGGGAAAGAAGATAAGAAGGAAGGGAAGGACTGAAAGGCAGGGGTTGACAAATAATGACTACAGCCCCAATTTGTACTCTTCCTTGTTTTTGTAAATAAAGTTTTATTGGAACATCACCATGCTCATTCATGTACATATTGTCTATGGCTGCTTTTGTATTCCGGTAGTGGAACTGGTGTTTCAGTAGAGACCATATGGCCCACAAAGCCTAAGATATTTACTATCTTGCTGTTTTCAGAAAAATGTTTACAACCCCGTTATAAATGCACTTATAGTATAAATACCAAAATATTAATGTGGACATTTCTGGATAATGAAATTATGGATGAGGCTTTTGTCCTCTTTATTTTTCTCATATGTGTTTCTTAAATGCTCATAAGTGAATATATATCTCTTTAAAGGTAAGAGCAAATGATGGTATATTGAGAAAGACTCAGGATGAAGAAAGAGAAATCCAGTGCTGCCTTTTCTGATCGTTCCATACTCATCATTAAGAACTTTCTTTGTATGAGGATTAGGGAAAACTTTAAGATTTCCCTCTCTTGAACACCAGGTTTCTTGTTCCTTAATGGACATACCAAGTCATGCAAGTGCTCATGTTTCAGTCTTTGTGTTGGCTGCTCAGAAAGTGACAGGTTAATTTCTAGCAAATAGGGACTCACTACTGACTCCATCTTATCCTACTTATAACCATACTCCACTTGTCCTAGTGCCTCATTTTACTTGTCTTTAGGTTAAATTTATCTTTCACTTTATATATTTTAATACAAATTACCTTAAATTCTGCCTGAAAAAAACCCAGAGAATAATCATGACAGCACATAAAAACAAAAGCCTTAAGAACAACGTGGAAGTGATAGCATTAGAATTCAAAATAAGATCTACCAGACTCCAAGAACATAGCCACTTCACACTCATCCTGCCTCTGACGTTGGGCACTGGGATATGAGTTTAAGACTCTCTCAAGGGATCATTATACTTAGAGCCTAAGTTGAGTTCTGGTAATATGACACAAGCCTGCTCTCTGTTCAAAGAATTTTGTGCATTGGTCAAAGCAGATGATTTTTTTTTTCCAATCTCATGCCTCAAATTCCATAAATGGGAGAAAAGTCTGGGCTGCTAAAGTCCTTCCAGTTTTCAGTGTTCGGTAGACACCAAATAGAGTGTACGAAGCCAGTGTGGTGGTACACATCTATAATCCCAGCACTTGGAAGGCCAAGGAAGGAGGATTGTGAGTTTGAGGCCAGCCTGAGCTACACAGTGAGACAATGTAGCTCAAGAACAAAACAAAACAAAACAAAAATTAGAGTGTATGAAAAACTAGATATAAATTTTTCCTGAAAAAGTGTCATTATTATTTTAGTAAGAAATCTTAAAACTGTGTTTTGTAGGCCTCAAAAAGAGTAAAGAATACATCTCCATCAGAGTCAGAGGCAGAAATCACAAGTGGTAATAATTTGGCCTTCTTCAGTTTCTTCCTTCAGTTATTGAGTGGGAACAATGAAACCATCCAACTCAGATGGTCATAATGAACATGACATGAGTTAACTCATACACAGCCCAGAAAACCAGACCTGTGCATAGGGAGGTCTCAACAGGGCTAGTTATCAGTATTGCTTTCTGATTGTTGCAGAGTTAAGATCTTCTTGTGGGAAATTAAGATTGGGAAGTGTCTAAGTCTTATATTCAAGAACTCCTTTCCTTGGGTTGGTATTCACGTATTAATATTTTGTTTCGTATCCACATGGTTACCAGTTCATCTCTTTGCAGGTCCTTCAGAGCAAAGATTTCTTTCCCCTTTTCAATGAACAATCTCCAAGCTGCAGAAGGTAAATTCAAAGTCTCGGTGCACCTGCAGTAAGAGACAGAAAAGTTGACCTTGCGTACAGAAAGCTTCTAGCACTGGAGAGAGAAAATAAAAGAAACCAAAGTCTGGATTGTTAATGACAGCTCTCTCTACAGGACTGGGAGTCAGTGAGGAGCTGGGCTCTAGAGCCATGAGAACCTTTTGAGTCTCCAAGTTGTGGCACTTGAGGAAATTGTTTAACCTCTCTATGTCTAAATTCTTTGTCTCCCGGGGTTGTTGTGAGGATTGAAGGTTGATTTTGAAAAGTGCTTAGCACAGTGCCAGACATGCTCAGTAAACAGGCAGACACTGTTACTGACTTTTCACTTCTCACTGTGCCCCACATACTTCTACTTCTGTGTCCCTGGTTCATGCTCTTCCTGCTACCTAAAACAACTTTCTTGGCCTTGCCTGTTGAAGCTTTGCTCTTAGCCAAAATCTCATCTGTCACTAAGCAGTTCTTTGACCCCTCCACCAGAAGTGATTCCCTACAGCCCTCTAACTTCCTTTGAAATGGGAATTTTTTTTTGCCTGGTTAAACTCTACATTGATTTTTTTCCCTCCTCCGTCAATCAAGAATGGGGCAGGCCCTGTGGATGCTGAGATGAATGACACAGTTTCTCTCTTCCCTGAGAGCAACATTTCTAGCCAAGGGTAGAGACAGACCAGCCACTGACTTGCAGCATAATGGAGGTGCTGTTGTAAGCACCTGGCCAGTACTGTAAGAAGGAAGAGGAAAGTCAATAAATTCCTCCTCAAAAGACCTTTGTCTAAGGAAGTAATGTTTGGATTGTGCTTTAAAGAATGAATAGGAGTTCATCAAGATGGGTTGGGACACAGCTGAGAGTAGGGACGGGAGGAAGGGACAGATAAAGCTGGAAAGGAAGACAGGGACCAATTTGAAAGAATTCAGGACTTCAGAATAATGAAGCTGGCTTGTAGCTCAAGAACAGGAGGAGGCCAGTGAAGGTATTAGAGTGGACCTGTGGTGTTATGGGATCTGCCTTTTAGAAAGTTGGAAAGCAAACAGACTGGAGGTAAAAGATTGGACCGTATGCAGCCTGTCTAGAACAGAGGAAGAAAGGTGGAAGGTGAGAAAGAGAGGTAGAGTCAATGAGGAGCACTGTGGCATTTCCTAAAGAATTCTGTTATGATGATGTAGCCTATGAAAGAAGAAAGTGAAAGATTCTTTCTACATATATCTGACATTAGAATGCACTAGCTATAATAAGTGAATTAGAGGTTTTTAGGCTCATCAGCAAGACTCAGATGCATGAAGACTATTTCTAACTTTTATTTTCTTCATTGAGATAGAGCAAGTAGATATATAATTAAGCCCTCTCTTACTTTGAGGGGGTCTTAAAAGGAAATAAGCCACTGGGAACTAAGTTTTCACTGCTTGTGCGCCAACTCTGGAGGCTGATGGGCCAGTAAGGACTGACCATGTTCCTCATTCACAGCAACTGGTGGAGTAGGAGTAGGAGAGAACCCTAACAGAACTGAGCTCAAGTCACAAGATCTCCCTGCTTCTGTTTGCATGACACCCAAAGACTCAATGCACCTCCTTCTGATTTTGCCAAATTGTTACCTTTGAGAACCCAAGCAGTTACAATATGGTCTAAGAAGAGTTGCCAACATCATTCTGCCCTCATTCGCACCTTCCTAAGTAGAATGTTTAGCCTGCAGAAATGTCCTGTTTTTGGACAGTGAACAAAAGACTAGAAGGAATAGGTGCTTGGTAAATCTTTCTTCTACTCTTCCTGAAACCCCAGTTTTAATGCAGAATTTGACCCATATGGATGGGCTGAAGAGGACTCAGTGGGGCAAGCTGTTTCCTCTGTGTTTAATGCTTTTAACTAGTTCATATACTAGCCAACATAAATGGGAAGAGGAGAAGAAAAGAATTGCCTTTCAAGCACCTAATAAGGAATGTGGGTTCTGGAGTCAGATTGGGTTAAATTCTAACCCTCTCACATTCTGCTTTATAATCTTGGAAGAAATTACTTCACTTCTCAGAGCTTCATTTGCCCCATGAAGGTCAGGGCTTTGTGGAAAACTTCCAGTTAATTAGTAGCAAAGGTAGGGTTAAAATCAATTATGTTGCCTCCTAATTTACAGGTCATTCTAATACTGCATGTCACCTGCAAGTTTACAGGAAGTAGGAAATATCTTCAAAAATATTCTACATCTATTATCTTAAAAATGGGACTTGTTACATGATTAGATGGATACAGTAGTACCTTATCTCCTGGAAGATATTTACAGATAAATATATTAACACCTGTTAGCAATATATTATTTAGATAAACTAAACGCTGCAATCATTCCATGTCTACTCTCATTTAATTCTCACACCATTTCTAAGCAGTCACTTCACTGAGGAAGAAACTGAGCCTACAGGTTAAGTTCCTTGCCTGGGGTCACATAACTAATAAATAGGAGATCCAAACTTCAAACCTAAATCTTTCTGGGTCTTTCACTGCAACATATGGCTTTCTGGGGGGCATCACTGTAGCATGATAAGGCATTAGATCTAGAAAGTGAGCTCAAGGTGCTGAGCAAGCAGTCCAGAATTTCTCTGTTATATAGAGCCAAACCGCTAGAAATAAGGTCTTCTTGGGGCAGGCCAGAAAATAGGGAAAGAAGCTATTGGGACTCTCAGGTGCCACGTGACTTTTCCCAATACATTTTGGGTGATTCTCTCTCTCTCTCTCTCTCTCTCTCTCTCTCTCCCCCCCCACCCCCCACCCTCTCTCGCCTTTGCAGTTGTAAACTTGTTTTCAATTATAAAAGTTTAGCAATCACAGACGAGTCCTTTTCAATTTTAAGTCCCCTGCAGCTGTAAGGTAGGAAGCCATGGAAAATTTTGCCCTCACACCTCTTACATGAAATTAAAATATCTGAGAATTAGTATAAGTGCATGCGCAGAGTGCTCCATGTAGTAAAGCAAAGCCTTGTCAAACAAACCTGTCAATCAGCCTAACCCATCCTCCACTGACCGCCCAGAGTTTTTCCCTCTTCATGCCCCTGTGATTCTTACAGCCCCTTGAGACAGACCTCCCCTCTTTTTTCTTCGCCCTCTTCTCTCTCACCTGCAGGGACCACCGTCACTTTTTGCAGTACGTCCCCTCACCTTTAATAAACTTTAGCATTACCCTCACTTTCCACATGGGAAGTCTTCTGACCGGAGTTTCCAGAGATCGCCTCTCTGGTACCAATCTGACTCTCACCCAGGAGTTGGGATGGGGAGCCATGTGAACTGCTTAGGTTTATAGAGGGTCCAGGAATATGGCATCTCCTCTGATTTGTTTCTCAGAACTGGAGTATCTAGTGGACCTGATTCCCAGAGGCCTCTATTTCAACACAACCAGGGCATTCATGAGAGAAAAGGGCACCCAGACAGGGAAGGAACCGTGTCTCCACATTCAAGCAAACCCAAAGAAAGTCGCTGCAAAATTGTGAAATATATTTTTAAACGAGATTCATTTATAGTTAAAGAGTTGATAGTTCAGAAAGCTAGCGGAACTTGCAGACATTGAATTCTGGGGGGACAGGAATTTATTAGGTTATCACCTCTAGAATCATTAGATTACCAACTTTTTCTTATGTCTGTACAAATGTATTGGGTGTTATCTGTTATACGTAATCATTCAGGCATCCAAATAGAAATATTTAGGATGTTAAATATTTACCTCTCCAAAAAACGGTGAAATTCAGTCTGGTTTGTTTCTGTTTCAGAATACTTATTAGCCCAGTGTTTCTCTTTCCTTTCAGTGTTGACATTTCTGAAATAAATAAGCCAAGATTTGATCATATTTGTATACATTGCCAATTATCTTTCAACATGTTTCTATATGCAAAAAATTATGAGATCCAAATTTATTATGATTTGCCCTAAAATAGTAATCTGCCTTTCCTTTTTTTTTTTTTTTTTTTTTGGTGGTACTGGGGTTTCCAACTCAATGTCTTGCACTTGCTAAGCACATGCTTTACCACTTGAACCACACTCAGCCCTAATCTGCCTTTCTTTAGAAAACTAGGATTCCAAAACCTAACACAAATATTAAATTTCATATTATAGATTAAATAATATGACATGTTATATAAACATGCTTATATTGAGTAATTTATAGAAGAAAATATATTTACAATATTCTAACCCCTTTTTAATCATACTGAACCCTGAGATGTAAATTTTCCAACTTTGAAACAAATCAGAGATTATACTCATTTCTGAGTGAGTGAATTCACTCATTCACTTTGTCTGGAATGTTTTATTCATGTAAGAGTTCCATTATTAATCCAAACCTAAACATTTTTGGAGATAAAAGGATTTATTTTTATTTATTTATTTTTATTATTGTTGTAAGTGGAGTATATTATGACATTTACAAAAGTTCTTACAATGTATCATAAATGAATTCACCTCCTCCTTCATTCTCCTTTATCCTCCCTCCCTCCATTCCTGGAATAGTCTCAGCAGGTCTCGTTTTTCCATTTACATACATGTGGACATAATATTTCTACCATATTCCCTCTCCTACACTAAATATTTTAAACAGAAAACTAATGATAATCATAAAAAGGATGCTGAATGAGAATATGTTTGTTCAGATTTTCACAGTAGAGAACTATCCTGTGCATTTTTAGTATCTCTATATGTTATGAAATGAAGAAACAGTGATCAAATATAGTTCATCATTCATTAACTCACTCATTCATTTAGTAAGCACTGATTTGAAGTTTACTGTAGGCCTTTTATCACGCAGCTAATACTGGATTAACCAACAAACACTAGCCACAGCATAACAGATGGCACAACCTCCCTGCTCTCCATCTCATGGATGGAGGCATAAGTACATAGCATGAAACAGAATGGTAGGTGCTGTGCTGGGATAAGCTTGGACAACTGGAACAATGGAGTTCAGAGAGGCTACACCCAATTTCGTGGAGTTCAAGGTAACATCCAGAAATGAAGTCCAGACTCATTCTCAAAAGACTTTTCTTATCAAGGAGATGGGGGGGTGGTTCAGGAAGTAGGGATGATTGACAATGAGAAAGAATAAATAATGATAAAAAATACAGCTAGAGAAATATACAGGAATAGGTCACAAAGGGCCTTAAAATCTACATTAAGGACCTTGAGTGGCTCCGGGGGCCATAACTTGCTAATAATTACTGCATGCATTTTGAAATTATAAAAAATGAGTTTTACTTTAAAGATAAGGCTTATATAAGTTATAGTTCTGAAAGGTGAAATTTGCCTGTGACCAAAAAATTATGTCTTAATTCATATGGACTTGACAGCTCTTATTAAGTTTAATTGACAAGATCTTGTCTTTCACTGAGAGTAATAATCAGCTAAGTAAATGAATTCAGTCATCCTCAGTTTTGTAGACAGAGGAACCGTAACAACAACCAACGCTCAGAGCTGTCTAAAGAGAATTATTAAATAGCTGAAGGATAGAATTTTGCTAAAATGAGTTTGTATATTATTATTCCAGCATGATTTTGTTTGTGAAGTCACTAAACAAGCCTGACTCTCTTTCTTTTTATAAATAAGCTTTGGGTTAGTTCAAGTAATCTATGTATCTGTAAATAGATAGATAGACAGACAGATAGATAGATAGATAGATAGATAGATAGATAGATAGATAGATAAACCTTTATCTCCTTGGCAAGATATTTAGCTTAGATCTAATAAAAACAGCATAGCAGGGCTTCTATCTTGCCCATCTCTGGAATGCTATTCTCACAGATGACAAGGTGAATGGTCCCTTCTGGGACTTGTTAGCCAAGTCTTTCTATTTAAATCTTTGGTTAAACAATATTTACATACAGCTGAGGATGCAACTGAAGATCCTGCATAATACTATGAGTCATCAAAGAAAGATTAAACTATATTTAGTATAGTTTTAGTGTCAAGTATATGCCAGTGTTTTTTAATTACTTGGAAATATTTAACTCGTGGCAAACAAAGTGGTTCTTTAATATCTGAATATTTGATGAAACAGGATACATTGTTCCATGAACACAGCATACAAACAATGGGCAGTTTCATGTACTTTCTGTTAGAATGGTTCTTCAAATTTGCAAGTCTTTCAAAATATGTCTGGATTCCTCAACTAACTTATACATTTTGAAGCACCAATGTGATAAGATACTGTCTGTATATAATTTTGAACCATAATTAAAGATATAGAATAAGAAAAAATGTAGAAAGGGACAAAAATTATGTGTTAACTTTGGGTGTTCAGAAAAAAGTCACGCAATTCTTTAAGGGCATTATCCTCACACCTACATCTAGCAGAATGAGCTAATTATGAAATGTATGCGTCAAAGATTTCAATTTCAGGCTTGACTTTACTTTGAAGATTAATTTTTTACTTTATCATCTTTACAGGCAGTTCAGTGGACAGCCAATCTGAATGCTACCCATTGTTCA